GGGCTGCACACCTGCAGGCGGGCTGGCCAGGCCGCCGTTTGATGGGACGCCCCATGCCGCTCTCAAGCTGCGGCAAGCTCAGCCGCGTCGATGCCGCTCGCCTCACCAGCCTGCCTGCGCGGCGGCGCAGGGTGCGTGGCGCGCTGGCGGTGCACCCCACCTTTGAGGCGGGCATGCAATCCATGGCTGCCTTCTTCGCCGCCATCCAGGCTGACCCTCCGGGGCCGCCGCCAGGCGTGCCCAAGCCCGCCGGTGCCACGTCAGCCGACACGGAGATGGCGGCGGCGGTGGCCGCGGCAGTGGCCGCCGCCGTGCCGGCCCAGGCGCTGCAGGAGGCGGCCACGGCGGCGGCCATGGCGGCGGGCCGTGGCGTGGAGGGCGCGCTCAGCCTCTGGGGACCTGGCGGTGCCGGTGCCGCGGGTGGCGGCCAGCAAGCTGCCGGCACCATCCTGGGGCTCTACCAGATGTGGCAGGCCAAGCCGCTGGGGCAGGCGCGGGCGGCTGGAGGAGCGGCGGGAGGCGCAGTGGCGGGCGGCGGCGTCTGCGGCGGCGGCGGCATGGCGGGTCTGGACCAGTGGAGCCGCCAGGCCGCGGTGAAGGAGGTGCCCAAGCAGCCCCAGCCCCAGCACCAGCACCAGCAGCGAGCCGCGCCTTTCCCCCAGCACGGCCCTGCGGGCGGCCAGCGGCAGCAGCAGCAGCCGGGTGGTGGCCTCGGCCCGCTCCAGCACCCTCAGCACCCTCAGCAGCACCAGCAGCACCAGCCCGCATTCGGCTACTACGTGCGGCCCCCCAGTGCCGAGCGCTGCCACTCCCCGCCCGACGCCGCGGGGAAGCTGCAGCGGGTGCTGCAGGGCGCCCCGCTGGCGGCCTGGGTGCAGCAGGACGTGTCAGACTGCCTCGCCTTCCTGCGCGCCTCTGGTGGGCTGCTGCCTGCCTGCCTGCTGCTGCCCGCCTGCTGCTCCCGCCGTCGCCGCCGCCGCCGCCGCTGCTGTACTTGTGCATGAGTGGTTTTTATCGAGTGTGGTGCCGCTCTGGCAATGCCTGGCTGAGCCTCCAAGTACTGAGGTGCGGCATGACACCACGGGTGTGCCCTCCCCGCCTCCTCCCTGCAGGCATCGGCGAGGGGGCGCTGCCTGCAGGCTACACCTCGCTGCTGGCGGTGGCGGTGGATGGGGTGAAGGATGCGTTCCAGGCGGCCAGGTGGGGGCTGGGGGGTGCGGCGCATGCCTCACACTGTTGGCCTGCGCCCCTGCCCTGTGTGCTCCTTAATCCAAGTTTCTTGCCCATGCCCCTTGATTCTTTCTTCCCCTCCATCCTTTCTTTCTTCCCATGCAGCGAGTACCTGGGCGAGGGGCGCGCAGTGCACCACCTGGCCGCAGAGTGGCGGTGTGCGCTGCCGCGGGGCCTGCAGGCGCTCATGGGCGCCGGCCCCGCCGCCTTCCCTGAGGGGAAGCCCTGGGATGCGGGGGCACGGGCGTTTGGGGAGCAGCGGCTGCGGGGCTGGGCCGACGGCGCGCTGCTGGCGGCGACGCGGGCGGCGTACGAGGCGCAGCTGGCGGCGCTTTTGCAGCGCGGAAGCCTCGGCAGCCCGCCGGCGGACGGGCAGCAGCAGGCCCACCCGCAGCAGCAGCAGCAGCAGCACCCCCAGCTGGCAGGCAGCTGGCACCAGCAGCAGCAGGCCGGCATGGTGCCGCCAGCGGGAGGCGCTGCCGCGCCTGCCCACACCCCGCCCGGCAGCATGGGTTGGCAGCATGAGGCGCAGGCAGGGGACACACTTCGCATGGAGTGGGCTCAGCCGCAGGGCCAGCAGCAGCAGCGGCAGGACCAACAGCAGCAGTACAGCCTGCCACCGCACACGGTCCCGCCCCTCCAGCACCAGTACCACCCTGGCTACCCTCACCAGCAGCAGCAGCAGGGATGGGGGCAGCCTGGCGCAGGCGCCCATCAGTGGCAGCAGTACCAGCAGTACCAGCCGCCGCAGCACAGCTGGCAGCAGCAGTGGGGCCAGCAGCCGCAGCCGGCGCAGCCTCACCACCCTCCGCCGCTGCAGGCCGCGCCGCCGCCGCAGGGCTGGGCGCAGCACAACCGCTTCCCTCCCCAGCACCTGGCTCGCGCCCACGCTCCTCCTCCTCAGCAGCAGCAGCATGGGCAGGGTCAGGCGGGCCCCGCACAGCAGCCGGTGCCCCCTCAGCAGCAGGTCTGGCAGGGCGCTCCTGCCGCCGCCGCCGCCCCTGCCCCTCACAACCCTCCGGCACAGCAGGCACCCCAGCACCAGCCACAGGCGCCGGCGGCGCAGCAGGGCGCCAAGCGGGGGCCCCAGGCAGCCAACGGTGAGCAGCAGAACCAAGGTGGGTGAAGGGGCTAGGCGGCGGCAGGGGCCGCGGCCTCCTGCCCTGCCTGCTGAGGGGGCCCGGCTGCCCCTGCCTGCCCCTGCCTGCCCCTGCTTGTCGCTGGTTGGCACGGCCTACCGCTCTCGCCCCCCTGTCCAGCAGCTGCCCGTCCTGCTGTGGCCACCGCCGATGCCCTTGCCCTCCTCCCCACCTCCCACCTGCAGCCAAGAAGCGATACCTGCACGGCAAGAATGCCGAGGCGGCTGCCCGCAGCCGCGCGGCGGGCGGCGGCGGCGCGGCGGGCGGCGCGGCGGGCTATGATGCCGCGCAGCGCGCCGCCATCGCCCACACCATCCACTCCAGCGGTGACGATTCTGACTTCCGCTGACCTGCGCCCACTGGGAGGGCTGTCCCGGCCACACTGACCCTCCCCTTCCGCTTCAGTCCCTACTTCGTTTCTATCGGTTGAGGGGGTTTCCGCTTGCAATTGCAGCGCTCTAACAAATGTGAGAACACTCTTCGACTCGACAAAATCAAACACAGTGCAAGGGACGCATCAAGGGGAGACGATGGGCGTTGAGGCCAGGAAGCGGCGGCGCGCCTCACGCCGCCTGGCACAGCACCTGCATGTTGAAGGGCGGGCCGAAGCCCGTGGCCCCCTTCACCATGGCACCTCCCGGGCCAAAGGGCACCAGGACGGTTCGGCAGGCGGTGGTGCCAGGCGCCACCCACCCCGCCTGGTACGCGCTGCTGCCGTCGGCCTTCTGTATGCGGCAGGGGGCGGGGGCGGGGGCCGCCGCCAGCGGGCCGCTGATGCAGGGGGCCGACGGCTTCCACACCAGCGGGGTCTGGCTGGGGCGGCAGGCGCAGCTGTAACCTTGGGTGGGGAAGTGGTCGGTGTTGGCGGGCGTGGTGTAGCGGCACTCGCCCTGGCGGAAGGTGCCTGCAGCCGGCGGAGTCGAGGGTGTGTGGGTGGGAGCGGGGGGAATGGGGGGGCGGCACTGGTGCACACGGAGTGTGTTGGCAGCGATAAGGCACCGGCGGCAGCAGGCGCGGGGCCAGCGGCGGCCCGCTGTCTCTGGGCAGCCCCCTCACCGTACGGGTCGGTGCCGTCGCCCGCCACGCCGGCGCACAGCGGCTGCAGCGCGGTGCCGGCGGCGACGGCGCTGCGGTTGAGCAGGGCGCAGGTCCAGGCGCAGTTGGGGCGCGCGTTGCTCTTGTACACACTCTTGTTGACTGCAGGCAGTGGCGGGGGCTGGGCTGGCGGGTGGGGCTGAGCCAAGCATGTGCTTTCCTGGCCCACGCATGGCCGGCGCTCATGCTGTGGCCGCTCGCCGCCATGGGCTAGGTGGGCCATCGCGCCGTGCAACCACCGCGCCTGCACCATCCATCCGTTTTTACTCCATCCTGCGCAGTGCTAGGCCGTGCAGGGCGTTCCTTTGCCAAGGCAGTTGGGCTCAAGCGCTTGAAGGCCTTTGGGCGCGCCCACCGTGGCTGCAACCGCTGATCAGGTGATGAGTGGCTCTATGAAGCCCCGCTGACGCCGCCCCGGGCACCCCACGGCGCGGAGCACTTGGGGAGGCCTTCGCTGTGAGCTGCGAGCGTCTGCGCAGCGCCAAGGTTTCTAGACACGCTCCCCAGAGCGTGTGCACGTGCAATCAAGCTCCTGCGCCGCCCGGCCTGCACTCTTTGCCATCCCCGCCGCCGCCGCCGCCTTGCATGCCGTCGCTGTGCGTCACGCCCTCTGTGCCCCCCTCCCTTGTCTGCTGCCCGCAGCCATGCTGACGGGCTCCTTCGAGCTGCAGGTTGCCATGTCCCGCCACTCCCAGCAGCTGCAGCACCCGCCCCCGCACCAGGACGCGCCGCACTCGCACCGCGCCTGGGCGGCGGAGCAGGGCGAGTGGCAGCGGCGCGAGGCGGCGTACCGCGAGCAGCTGGAGCGCCACTACTGGGCGCAGCACGAGGCGGAGTACCAGGACAGCGTGGCGGAGTACTACGCAGCTCGCCGCCACCACCAGGAGCAGCAGCACCGCCTCAACCAGGTGCTGTACGGCTTTGGCGCCTCCAGGCTGGCGCCTCCGCCTAGCACCACCAGCGCCCAGCCGTGCCACCCACACCTGCAGCAGTACCAGCACCAGCACATATTCCAGCAGCACCACCAGCAGCAGCCCTACCAGCAGCACCAGCCCCAGCAGCAGCAGGAGGCCGAGGGGATGGATTGCTGCGGCGCCCCCGCCGCCTCGCCGCGCCCGCCGCTCACCGCCGTCAGCTGCAACGCGGGCGCCGGCCCACCCGGCTGGCCCGGCGCCGGCATGGCCTGGGAAGCATCGCCCGCGGCTGCAGGGGGCGGCATGCCCCGCAAGCGCAGCCAGGAGGCGGCCGACTGGAGTGTGGCCGGGATGCAAGGTGGGTGCTGGGTCGGGCGCCTGGCAAGCAGCATGCTTGGCCGGGCTGTCGCTGGTGCACTCTGGGCAGCTGGCGCTGCCGGCCAGTAAGCTCCTGTCAGCTGCACCAACCCAACGCCCTCCCTGGTGCGCCTGCCGCCTGCAGGGGCCAAGCGCCGCAGCTTCCGCCGCGACTGAGGCTGCCCCCAACTGTGACTCCCAGCCTGCGATGGTGACCAAGCCTACCTGCTCGCCGTACACTGGAGTGCCGCAGGCGCAGGGCGCAAAGTGGCCGCCCGATCTGTGGCGCCCCCTCCGCCTGCCATCCCGTCAACAAGGAAACTCAACTGAGGACTGACACCCGAGAGGCCACCCGAGCCAACCCTGCCACTTCTATGACATCCCTGCACGAAGAATTTTGCATGTGTGCTGAGACTCTGCACGGCGCCTGATGTATCGCTGTACGCCTGCCCTTTTCCACTATGTGCTATCCCTCTGCCCCTGAAAAGCCGTGTGTCCCCTGCCCTCCCAGCCGCCCAATGGCGCATGCCCATCTGCCACGCATTTTTTCTCCCAGTTTTCCAGCCAGCCTGCCATGGAATCAAAGGCAATTCAAGAATTACAGCGTGGGCCGACACGCGGTCAAGTTATCCGAACAAGCGTCAGGAAAAAAGGAGGAGCACAGGGAAAAACGGAACGATACAAAGGGCCAGCAGGGGGAAGGATGGGGCTGGCAGGCGGGGTGCTGTTGCATGAAAGGAACTGAGGATTCATCGGGTGGCAGACACAGGGGATAGGTCGGTGAGACCGCAGCATAAGGTTAGACGCTGCACAGCCACAGAATGAGGAACCAGGCTTGCAGGTTGCACTGTCTCTCTGGAGGGCGGCGGCGGGCTGCCCCACCAGCCCTCATGCCACCCGGGAGCGGAGCAGCGCCGCGGGTGTGGAGCCGGTGGATTGCCCCACCAGGCGGCAGACACGCCAGCTCAGTTGACCAGCTGCACGGCGGCGATGGCGGGGATACGCTCCCGCAGCTTCTGCGTCACCGCCACCCGCACCGTCATCACGTTGGCCGCGGGGCCAGTGATGCGCACCTGCACATGCACACGGGGCCTACTCAGGCAGGGGGCGCACGTCTGCATCTCGCTGCACCCTGCACGGGCCGGGCCCCGCCTGCCAGCCCTGCAGCCCTGGTACTGGCCAGCCAGCACACCTGCCCGAGGGGGGCAGCAGCACCCCCCAGCACCCCCAGCGCCCAGCCCTCACCTTGGCGATGGGCCCATCCAGCTCCACCAGCTCCAGGCCGCCGCCGCCGGTGCCCACCAGGTAGGGCCTGGCGTGTGGCGGTTAGGGGGGGTTAGGGGGGAGGTGTGTGTGTGTGTGAGCGCAGGTGTGGTATAGAGGGACGCCCGCGGCAGCTGATGCCTGCCGCCCCATGCACGCCACGCGGCCCGGCACGCACCACGCGCGACTCCACCCACCCAGCTGCACTCGGCCCCTCAGCAACCATCACTACCCCCCCCCACCCC